ATAACATTCATCAAATTCATTCAACTGAATAATAATCAACTTGTTGCTGCTACTAATGATATTTGGGTGTTTGTGAAGGGAACGTGAATGGCAACAGGATACAGTTGAGGAAAGAGGAGTTAAATGGTAATGCATCAACGATAAATTTTTGAAGAATTAGAGTGGCAGAGCTTCTAGGAGGGCATTTATGATGAACAGAGAAGCTCAGGTAAACAGATGAGGGTTCGTTTTTTTCCTCATTGATCCTGTTGTTTTCTCCGACATTTCCGATCCTTTCTGTCTAATTAACATGAACTGTCGTTGATGTTTCATCATTAATTGCAATTAACGAAAATGCTGTTTACAATTGCAATTTACACACTTCATTTCACCACTGAAGATTCAAAAATCAGTGAAATGATCATCAAAAAGGTTTTGTTTGTTCATCGCTTTGAGGGGCAGTACAGTAAGTGCCGACTGGTACCAATAAATCGATTTTGTTAAGTTCAGTACACTTTATTCGTCAAAGATTCAATTCATGCATGAACCTGTTCACAAATTAACTTCATTTCAACACAGCAATTCACAATCAAACTTACGCAATGTTCAATGAATAACTCAATCAAGTTGAATACACCTGTTTTGAATCAGTGCATTCCATTCATTAACGTCATTGTCAATCACGTATTGATGCTTAGCGTTTTAGGTACAGTGCTGTCATGATGAGCCACCATTACGATCATTCACATCAAAACAAACACCATAAACCAAAATACGATGAAAGCTAACTGACTGCTCTTAGAGGACAGCGTGAAAGGAATCTTGATGAACTGGAATGGTTTTGTAAGCTAAAGTTTTCAAAATGCGAATTTTCTTTATAATCGTCTTCACGAATCAATCAAACTGGTGAATGCGCTCGTCTTACATCCTCCGATTCACTGAGGTGACTTCCATTGTTAGTCATTCGTAAATTTCTTGTTCGTCAATAAAAAATTCCAAACGAACAATTACGCAGTACATTATGAAATTTTTTGATTTGTTCCTTACAAACGTGTACTGGAAAATTTTCATCTGCAATGACAACAATATCATCCTTACCATCATTAAATATTGTCATTATAAAAATTACTATGTTCATGGTCTTTCAACGGACGTTCAGGCGGAAGTTTCAATTCATTAAATAACAGCAGCAAAAAATCAAACTTGAATTATTCCCAAGATCCTCCTCAATCAATACTCATGAAATCTCAAAATTGATCGCTCGTTCAGCAAATTTATAAGGTGATTAAATAAATGTGTTATTGCCGCTCGTTTATTACCTGTTTTATCGAATAGGATTTCAACATATAACCTTCTTTTCCACCCTCATCTACTTCAGTATGCATTGTCACATCCAACAACAATTTGATGAGGATGGAAACGAAAGCAACATCATTTTCATATTGCGGAAACAATTGCAGAGACGCGATCGCTGATCATAAATGTGAATTATTGCGGCGATCTTCAACAAAGAAAAATGTTTGAAACAAAAACGACTCGCTCATTCGCTTGCTCGCTCTGGCTTTGTGTCACTAGCAATATCCTCATCATCTTTTAAAATCAACTCCAGCAGTTTGGACGATTTATTGGCCAGACTTACTTGGTGGTTGAGTAAGCATTCAAATTCGTTGTGTGAATGACGTTTGTAGATCTGTTGATATCTGTTGGAGAGAATGCGAGAAAGTTGAGTAAGCCTTGCTTGACTGACTCATTCGATAAGCAAATGAAAGGCAGTTCTTTATGATCAGCAAAAAGAAAATGCCATGTTGTGTTCTAAAATTGCGTCATACTCAATTCTGAGCAGTCGAGTATGTAAAAACGTATGCAGGATGTAAAGTCGGAGAGAATGACAAAAGCAGATCGAACAAAGCCTCGGGCAAAACGAGTTCTTCTCCCTCGAACTGAATGTTTCCAAAGACTCGACTCACGCGAAAACGAATTATCAGTTAGTGACCAATTATCGCATTCATTTCTGTTTATGTATACTCGCTCCACTCAGTCCTACCAAATCGCTTCGGTGTGACGCAATTAACCAACTATTCTTATCATTGTTCCATCCTTCCATTTATTTATCCAGCCAGTCATACATGTCAACATGTCAATTCATCAACATTTCAACATCTTCGTATCCCAACCTGTCGACGAGGAATTAATTTCACGTCTTATTTCATTCATTTCGATCATTTATCTATCTGAATTCATTTATTGGTCTTATTCTAACCAACAATAACAACCATCCTCAATATCAAATTAATTCGCGCATTCGCAACTTTATTGCATCCAATACCAGTTTAAGGTAATATTGCTCAACAATTAGACACTCTACCAGCAGTAGGCAACCGTCGCATCTGCTCAATATCAATATATACACATTATATATATAT